CTTAAGACAATATTGCCTCGCTACGGTGCTCACGGTTGTCGGCACTTGTCTCCCAAGATATAACGGATTCAATTCTTGTGGTAGCAGTACTTCAAATCACAAGAGACAAGCGAACGTGACGGAATTCCCTCTCTACAAGGAAAACGGGTTTTGGAATGAATTTGGGAGAGTTTTTGCAAAATTTTTTATGAATGCAAAATGCACATGTGGTATGAAAATGCAAAAAGGACGTCCAAGGGTTTCTATATATAGAGGATGAGGGGTTGTAAATAAAATGTCACGCCCCAAACTCGACAACATTTGCCAAATGTCGCACCATTTAATGTCGCTAGCCTATCGCCATCGCCTCGCTCGAGCGATAAAAATAGTGACTTTTTCGCTAGCTTGTTGCTGGCTTATCCCAAAAGAAATAATCATGTCGCTCGAGCGACAGTCCATCCATAAGCTAGCAACAACCTTAGTCAATTTTTTAGACAGCTTTCTCTATTTTCTTTCCAACTTTGGACCGCAATTTCTCATTCATCCGAAATTGGTTTTGAAATTCCAAATATACCACGACGATCTACTCGACAAGTAAAACAAGTTGGTCTATTTACATTTGTAATTTGACCATCGGATCAAGTCTGAATATTTGGCCGAAATTGACACGAAAGTCATTTTTTTCCAAGTTTTTGGTTTTGACACTTAACCAAATTTTCAATCTTNATTCAAATATTTGAATGAAGTTGAAAGTCATTTTTCCAAGTTTTTGGTTTTGACACTTAACCAAATTTTCAATCTTTTAAACCAATTTCCAACAATCCCCCACGTGAATAAAAATTCGAAACATGTATAGCAATGCGAAATTATGATACATTGTAGAGAGAGAGCGGAAAAACATTGCATCATGTAAGATAACTTCCGACTTAAGCCTCTCCTAGTGAAATATTATCGGACTTACTTGGTTAATTGATGAACGTGATATTTTGAACCATTCAGCCGTTAATGTAAGCCAAGACAACAATACTCACACAAATGTCTTCCCTAATCCATTCATGGTTCTCATGACTTGGTTCATTTTGTCCCTGAACCACCCTTGGGTTTCATAAGTGTTTAAAGAATTGTAGTCTCAAGCAATTCTCATTGAAACGGCCCCACT